GTGGTCCCTCCACGGCCAAACTCACCAACTGGGGTAGGGGGTCCACTGTGGTCGATTGCACCGACTGAGAAGTGAGTGCAGCACTCCTGGAAGTGGCAGTGGTGCTCCTGGAAGTAGCCGCAGCACTTCCTCCGATGCTCCCACTCCCCAGCCGGCGCTTGCAGTGGGGGCACCGGCACTCCCACCTGCACTCCCTGCCCATCGCCTAAGTGGGGAGAGCGGGGTGCACCAGCGCTCTCAGGGGGTGCACATGCACCCCTGTGCACTTCCTACATGTCGCCACTGGCCTCGCCCCTCTGCTCCTTAGCCTGCTTTCTGCCTGTGTCCATTAGCCCACAGAAACAAGGGGGCAGGGGAACAGACCTCCAGCCCCCGCTAGCCAGGGTCTACACAGCAAGTGGGGGGATGGAAAGCCCCTGTGGTGGGGGATTTTCAGACCCTGGCAGCCCTCCCCACTTCCCCTTTCCAGCTGCTAATTGCTTCAGCGGCTGCCCCAGAAGGGAAGGAGAAGAATGGAGCAGCTCAGTATGGAGGCAGCAGGGAGCCCCAGCCTGGGCAGCCCCAGGGACCTGAGGGAACCCTTTCCCTCCTGGATCTTGCTGTAGCCCCTGCGAGCCTCAGGCAGCTTCGGGGAGTGAAGGGAAATTCTCCTGCTCCTCTGCCACTGGTTTTGCCTTAGCTGCTGTGAGTCTGAGGCAAAACTAATGCAGGTTGAGCTGAGGCATTTCCCTCCACTCTGGCTATCCCTGAGACTGCAGCAGCTAAGGTAAGGGGTTAGGAAGAATTCCTCTCAGCTCCCTGGAGCTTCTGGGGGCTGGGGGACCCTGAGCTTGGGTGGGGGGAAGCCCCCTGAGGCAGAGCCTCCTCAGTGCCCCTGTGCTAGGCCACAAGGGCAGGTACCCAGCCTGGAGGACTTCTCCCTTGCTTCTGTGGCAGCTGCTGAAGCAATCAGCAGCTGGGAAAAGGTTGGGGACTTCCCTTCAGCTCCCCTGGGCTGCCTGGGCTGGGGAGGCCAGGCTGAGGGAGACCTCTTGAGGGGGAGACTCCCCCAAGGTGGACCAGCACCTGGAGAGGGGGCTTCTGACCCCCCTGTGGGCAGACAGCAGCGGGCTGAGGACACTTGGCTGGGCTGGGAATGGCCACCAGGCTTGGGGACAAGCTCTAGTGCCCTCCTGCTTTCCACCTGCTGGCCTGGGTCAGTGCAGGCCCTCCTGCCTTTCCCAATTAAAAACTGAATTGTCACTCTGCTTAGAGGAAGCTGCCTAGTTTGAACTGATTCAGCCTCAGGTTTTTTGACTGTCTGTACTTAGCAGAGCAAACTTGGTCCCTTTACTCATGTGGAGCTAGTTGCATTTCTTCCATGGAGCACCCTAGCATGGAAGAGGGTTATTGTCCCCCATGGTACTGCTTTGGATGCCAGAGAACCACAGCTTATGAAGCTGTTTTTGGTCATTGCTTAGGTGCTTAGGATATTTCAGTTTTTGTCCTATAAAGAAAAGAAATCCCACATTTCAGAGGGGGGAGCAGAATGGTGCCTTATATCTGAATCTGTATTAAGAGCAATATTTGAGCAGCAAGGCACCGGAAGAGGGTGAAGATAAAGCAAAAAGTAAGGAGTGGTGTATAGGCAGAATTCTGGAACCAAACAGGGCAGAAAATGGAATAATTTGATAAAGGTGGCTAGGAGAGGAATTTGCTTTAACAGTGAGGGGAAGCTTGGATTGAACCTACATGAGCAAAAAGAGGAAAGTTATCTTGATGACTATGTTTGCATAAGTATGAGAGGGAGAGAGAAGTAAGAGAGTCAGTGGAGAAGTTAAAGCAACACTTGTCAAGCAGAAGATTATAACTAACAATGTTTGTTCCCTGTGAAGAGTGGGGAGATGCTCAGTGCCAGAGAGGAGGAGTCTGGAGGGTCAGTCTTACCTCCCCTAAGACTGAAAACTCCCAGCTGCTGCTGCTGCTGCTTGCCTGCTCTGAGCTGCTGGTGCAGAAGCTGGCTACAGTGGCATGATTTCCCTGTACCTGGCTAATGCCCTGGCATTGGGCTGCTGTTGCCATAGCAAAGACTCCTTGAGGGGCCACCATTCCAGCATCACTTCTAAGTTGATGCCTGGGGATCTTATCCCATGTACTCATTCCTGCTTACGCTACTGTTGTCATGGTAAAAACAGTGCTGTTGAAATATCTAAGATGGTACATAGGAAGGAAGCAAGTTGCTAGAGCAGCTACTAGGATTTGTAAGTAGCAATAATGAGAAATATGAAGTGGCAGAATCTTATATAAAGTGAGAGGAGAAGAAAATATTACATGGTTCATATGGAACATACCTCATCCTGAACCAGTGGAGCTGACACAAGCCAAGCCTGCTTGTTCACAAAGAGAGAACCTTTTAAGTTTTGGTGAATGTTTGCTCCGTTTACAGCATTCTTGAGGCCTTCACAGTCAATTTTGATATAACTCTATTCATTGTCAGAAATAGTAACACCACAGGTATCACAAGCACCCTCTTGAGGTGTGAGAGAGATTTGACTTATGTGACCAACTCTTGGTGCCTTGTCGGGTACTACATCTTTTCATTTAGAGAGACAGAAACAGAGATGAGGAGTGCTGGCATTCTTATGTGTAACCTTGATATCAGCTGTGCAGTTGTGTGTCACAGTTGTGTTAGTGGTTGTTGGTGGTTCTTATTACCACAAGTCAGGCATCCTGTTATGCTAGACATTGTACAAACATGGAACAGAAATATAGTCCCTGCCCTAAAGAATTTACAGTCTAAAAATAAATCCAAGGACAATAGGGGCATACAGAAAGAAATGGAGGGAGGGTACAATGAAACAGTTTCCCCTGTTTTCCACCTTTGTTATTGCCTCAGTCCTTACTGAACTGAACAACAGCAAGGCAGCCCACCTACTGGTCCTTGTTTCAACCAGACACTGCCTCATCTGAGTCAGGTAGAGCAAGAGAAACATACAACTGAGCATCCTCAACACACTAGATTCCATACTCAACATGTGCTTTAACTATGCAGATTTAGAGGTGACATTGCTACCTCTATACCACCACTGCCATTAAAGGTGGTAAGTTGAGGGTTTGGCTGGGCAAAAGAAAGAAAGGCAAGACCATTATTGTTCTTTGACTAGCCCTCGTTGGCATGCAGATACTATGAGGCCATATTTAGTTGGTAGTATTAAGTACTGAGGAAAAAAAAGTGATTCCTTATGTTGTCCTGCACTGTATCTTGGGAGTGGCAGTTGGAGAATTGAACTCCATAGTTTTGGCAGAATTTCTTCAGGATTGAATGTCCATGAGGCTACTTTAATGTACACCAAAATGAAATGGTTCCCTGGAATTGGAGAAGCACAAAATGTTGTCCAGTCATCTTCCCCCTGACCCTATATGGACCCTGTACTATTGTATTGTCTTCTCTTTTTGATTGATATGTGTAAATCCTGAGTTATTGTGATGTGGAAACTAAACTGATTGTTCTATTTTGTGCTGTTCTTCCATTTTGAGTAAAGCTTTCTGCTGGCATAACAGAAGCAGCATTTCAGAAAATAATTTGTTCCCTTTAGTGTTCATTTGTAAATATAGGGATAAAAAGAGGCACATTTGAAATTTATTGTCTTACAATGAAACAAAAAAGTACTAATGTTTTGCATAAGACACTTCAAGATGAGCTTTTGTAGCAGCTACGTACAACATTTCAATGTGACATCGTTTCCTACTTCAGTTATGACTTTTTCTCTGTAATTTGTTTTATAGGCCATATTTGTCAATTCCAGTTGTCAAGTATTTTGCAGCACTTATAACATGACCCAAGAGCATTGGTTTGGTGGATAAATTTCTGCAGCTGAGTCAGTTTGAGAAGCAGACAAGGATAATCTATACAGTGCTTGTTGTAATGTGTATTATGTAATCATATCTTTAGCTTACTCTGGTTTTACTCTTTGTTATGATGAAATAACTGATAGCTTCAGTGTCCCTATTTTCATAGCAAAAAGTGGCAGGATAAAGAGGGGAGTGCAAAAGAGATTTGGGATCTAATTCTCTTCTCACTGGAATGATGTGAATTGGTAGAAACTCCAGTGAAGTCACAGTATAAAACAAAGGTGAGGTCAGAATCTGTTTTAGCAAAATATGAATGATTCTGTTTTATAGATCAAATAACAGGTAGTGCATTTTTAACGTTTGTATTTAATGAGGCATATATCCTCATAATTTGATAGAGCAGCATAATCAGTTTGAAGAAGTTGGCAGTAATTTCAATATAGTAGGCATTATTTTCTTCTGTAAAATACAACTTCTCTCCCCCTCCCATCAAAACAAAATAGACATGTATAATTATGACATAACATGAAGAATTCTTCTATACTATGAAATATCATAACTGGTCTTTGTAGATGTGCTATGAATATCTTAAGTGTTGGCATTTATAGATAAGAATTCAACCTTAGTTTTATGTCAGTTAAAATTATCACTGATGCAAGAAAAACTATAAAATATTTTTTGTGCTTCTGTTGTAAATGATTATTTTTGTATAGTAGGATTTTACCTTGCTGGAGGTGGTAGATACTGAAAAAAAAAAGGATGTCTTTGTAGATCATTGTTTGTTTCTGGACTTGGAAAGTAATGTTTAACACTTGCAGTTGTAGGGATGGAAGTAGGCTTCCAAATGTTTAATAAAACTAAAAACACATTATTTCATTGAACAGCAATACTCAGCTATCTTTGGACCCAGGTGTCATCTATATATAGCAATGATAGTTTTTTAATTCTGTTTTCAATCAATTCTAATGTTGTGTTTGATCTGGTTTTACAAAGTCTTCTGAAAATTGCTCTGTTTTTAATTTTTGTCCTTGGAGTCATGTTTTATTCCTGCTAAATAAGACACAAATAAAAGTTTTTTTTTTATTGTGGTTAGAGGTTTAAAAGCTGATAAGTCATTTTTATTAGTGGAACAAAATAGCTTTTAAAATTTATTCTAATTTCCTTTCCAGTTGAAAGATGTATGAGTGTAATGCAGTCTGGGACTCAGATGATTAAACTGAAGAGTGGAACAAAAGGACTGGTACGCCTTTTTTACCTGGATGAGCACAGGACCTGCATCAGATGGAGACCATCCAGAAAAAGTGAAAAGGCTAAAAGTAAATTCTCTTAATAATTCTTTTAATTATGGTACAGGTCATAACTGGTATATGAATTACAGAGAAAACTGAGACAGATTTGTTTTTTACTGTGTAGATATTTTTGTGATACTTTAGTGATATATTCTGGCAAGTTGCTCTGTAGGATGGGCCAGGAGAAGAATGCTGTCTTTTGCAGACCCTCTGTTCATGTGACAAAATTAGAGCTCCCAAGACGTATATTATCTTGCAAGATTCAGTAATTCAGCAACAAGCATAATTCTTCATAATAAGTTTATATGAGGATCCAGCTTCAGATTCAAAGCAAAGCAATTTCATACATTTATGATAATGTCCAACAATATGTGAAAGATGTTGTAAGTGTATTTAATAAACACAAAAATGCACATTAATTTTAAGTACCTCCCTTTTCTAGTCTTCCCTCTATCCCAATATCGAATTGTGACAGGCTTTTAATAAAGCAGTATTAAAGAAGTGCCTAACTGGATAAAAGTAAGTTGGCTCAGGCTTATTCCGGAAGATATTTTTATCAAACATCTAAGCAGAAGATGTTTTTGGTAAACATCTAATGAGAAGAGGTTTTTAGCAAAAGAAAGAATCCTGGCACCTACTTTTAGAAGGTGACTCCTGACCCCAGAGTAGCCTTACATAAACTGAGGTCAGTGGTGGATCTTCAGCTTTGGATTGTGATCCCACCACTAATATGAACCAGAATACAGTGGAACATACAATAAATCATTATGCTTATGCATTGTGGGTGTAGATGAATTTCCTGTCTGATGTTCTATACTTGTTAGTTTTTTCAAGAGTGTTTATTTGATTTGTATTGTACTATATTGAGGGTTTTTTGACTGTTGCAAAACACTCTGCATGGACACTGCCGGAATGGGTATATTATAAATACAGGTAGTAATACGTGAATATATACTCTAAAAAGACCAGTAATCCATATGAAGTACAAATTTAATTTCTGATAGGGGTGTGCAAAGCGGGCCCTATTCAATTCAGATTTGGCCCAAATCAGGGACAGTGATTCGATTCGTTGAGTTGAATCACTGTCCCTGATTCGATTCAGCTGAATCCAGATCTGAAGATTCGATGATTTGGACATAGACACAACTTTAAATGTTTTTTCTACATACTTTGAGGTACTAGGCATGGCTTGTGAATGCTGTGATGCTGGGGTGGATGGAGCGTCCCACAGGAGTGTGGTGAGGTCCCTCCACATGCTTGGCAGTGAACTCGGAAGTGGTCCACTGGGTAGTGCATGGCGCCTCCCCCCCCGGCTTGGTGATCAGCCAATGGGGGGACCCTGTGGACTGGAAGTGCTTCTGGTCCACTTCTGGGTCTGCTGCCAAGTGCACTGGGGAGCCCCCCACACTTCTGTGGCACACTCCATGCATCCCAGCATCACAGCATTCACGAGCCGCCTGCTACCTAGAAGTATGTAGAAAAAACATTTAAAGTTGTGTCTATGTCCGAATCGCCGAATCTCTCCGAATCGATTTGGAGAATTCCAGTTCAATTCGGAGAGATTAAAGGGTCCTCTGATTCAATTTGGATTTGGAGATTCAGCCACCAAATCGAGCCAGATCTCTGCTGAATTGAATCAGGGACCAAAGCTTTGGACAGCCCTAATTTCTGACTTCAGTGCATTTGCATAGCACCCAAGTCATTGCTGTATTTAGCACATAATGTTGAAATTTGAACGAAGATATTACTCTGTTCAATAGGAAACACAATTCTGGATGATTTGAAAATGTGCCTCAAGTTTACATGAACTATATACATATATACTTAAGTTATACTTATGCTAACTTGGCAAGATACCAAAGTACACCAGTCATTATTTTATTTGAACATAACAGAGCACTACAGTCACTTAAAGAAATGTAGTAAATTTTAAAAGCGTGGTTTCACATACTTTGATTGATCTCTACTCAACATATGTCTAGAATAATGGAGTATCTCAGTGTTTGCCATAACTGTATGAGAGTAGCAGGGTTCTGACAAATGCAATTTTTCCTTGAAATTGCAAAAAACAATTCATCATTACAGTACTATACGTGCCATTTAGTGACATTATATTTTTGAGGTTTACTTTAGCATCACTGGTTTGCATCCCTGGCTTAGCAACTTTGGTTTGGTAGTTCAAGTAGGTTGATTGATAGACACTGAAATGCCTAGAGGGTAAGTGACGGTGTGTAGGTGTTTTGTGTTATCTTTGTATAACATTTGAAGTCTGGCTGAATAGGCAGGAAACTTCCTAGGTTAAAAGATTCATTGCCATATAGCCTCCTTTAAGAAGGGCTGGTTAATTTGGAAGAATGGGAAAAACAACCTTGTAAGCATTTCTTTAAAAAGTATTTCACATTTTCCATTTATTGTTACTATTTTTTAGCTTTAATTTGAAACAACTTTCCTGCTTCGTCCCTCCTGAACACAAACACTGTATTTACCTGAATCCAAGAACACTTCAAATTCAAGGTGATCCCCAATAGTTAGATTCTACACATGGAAAAATATAAGTTGGTTATACTTTTCCATGTATAGAATCTAATAAGAGGAAGGACTTCTTAGATTCATCCCCACACTGCTGTGGTGTGGAAAGCAGTGGCAGAGGTGAGGGGCCAGACCCTCTGTCCTCCTTCATGCCTGTGCATGTCCCTGCTGTTACTTGTACAACCCCCCAGTGTCTGATGCACCACAGTTCCTCCAAGCCTCACAGGTGGGTCTCCCCCATGTGCCCCCATCTCTTCCCTACTGCTCAGTATCCCTTACCCTCCCCTGCTCATGTGCCCCTTCCTCTGCCAGCTGAAGCCAGAGCTGAGCCACTACCTGCCCTGGACCAGTACTTGAATTTAAGAATCTAGGGGGAAAAACCTTGTCTGGGATTCAAGTAAATGCAGTAAGTATGCAAATTGTGCCTATTCAGTTCAAAGTGAGGGGTGAATAAACCTGGTCTTGTCATTAAAGCTTAGTAGTAAACAGTAAGGAAGGTTCTAGATGATAATACTGGGGTGGGGAGAGGAGGGGAGAGTTTCCTTATTAAGGGGCCAGGTATAATTTAAGCAGTGTCTGGAACAATAAGGAGTCTCCCTGCCTATGTAGGACTATTGGTACTTTATTTCCTATCATGGGAAGTTTGGTTACAGTGCTCCTTTTAGTAGGGAACAGTGTGTGTTATTTTCTATGACTCTGCAGGTCTGCTGATTCATGGAAGGAAGTGTATGAGGTTAAGGTATCATGGTCCGTCTGCTCACTTAGCCTTTTGAGGTGGCTTGCATTTGTGGGATTTAGTACGTAACAGTCCCTACCTTTGAGAGGTAGGATACTGTCATTTTTGCTGGTCTATGGCCAGGAGTACTGTTTTGGGAAATCCTCTTGTATGCACACATTCTGAACCCGTGCAAGGGCAAGGCTAATATTTGATCTGCCTTTCCAGTGCAGTTCCAGTGTGATGGCCTGTAAATTTGCCTTTATTTAAAAAAACAAAACCCCAAAAACTGAGTAGTAGAGAATAATCTGAAATACAAAACAAACTGAATGAACATCCAGCCAATCTTTAATTTTTTTATTTCCCTTTCCTTTGCAGTTATAATTGACTCAATTTATAAAGTCACAGAAGGCCGACAATCAGAAATATTCCATCGCCATGCAGAGGGGAACTTTGACCCAAGTTGCTGCTTTACCATTTACCATGGGAACCACATGGAGTCACTAGATCTGATCACCTCTAATCCAGAGGAGGCTCGCACTTGGATCACAGGACTAAAATATTTGATGGCTGGAATAAGTGATGAGGACTCTCTTGCTAAAAGACAAAGAACTCACGATCAATATCCTTTCTAGAACTTTATCTCCAGTTTCCAGTTTGGTATTTCTAGTTTATTTTTCCTGGTGTTGGTATTAGTAGTCCATTCTACCTCCCACAGAAAACAATTGAAATGTTTGCTTTTGATTGTGATAGGAGAGGAATTGGTTCATGGGTTCAAAGAATTGTTTTTACAAATTCAGAATAATTTCTGATCTTCCCAATGAGTTTGAAAGTTTTCCAATCCTCTTATTTCATTTTTTAAAATAGTTTCATAGTTGGTAGGGTCGGAAGTGACCTAAGCAGATCATCTAGTCCAACCCCCTGCCATGGGCAGTTAAGGGTGCTGGAGTCAAATGACACCAGCTAGGTGGCTGTCTAGCCTCCTTTTGAAGACCCTCAGGGTAGGGGCAAGCACCACTTCCCTTGGAAGTTGGTCCCAGCACCTAGCCACCCTGACAGTGAAGTAGTGCCTCCTGATATCTAGCCTGAATCTACTCTCAGTCAACTTATGGCCATTGTTCCTTGTTACCCCCGGTAGTGCTTGGGGAAACAGGGACTCTCCCACTGCCTGCTGATCCCCCTTGGCAAGCTTATAGGTGGCCACCAGATCCCCTGTCAGCCTTTTCTTGTGGAGGCTGAACAGGTTCAGGTCACATAGCCTCTCCTCATAGGGCCTGCCCTGCTGCCCCCTGATCATGCGAGTGTCCCTCCTCTGGACCCTCTCCATGCTGTCCACATCCCTCCTGAAGTGCGGCACCCAGAACTGGACGCAGTACTCCAACTGTGGCCTGACCAGTGTCGCATAGAGGGGGAGGATCACCTCCTTGGACCTGCTCGTGAGGCATCTGTGGATGCATGACAAGGTGCGGTTAGCCTTCCTGACCACGTCTCCACATTGACGGCCCATGTTCATCTTGGAATCAATAGTGATTCCAAGATCCTTCTCTGTCTCTGTGCTGATGAGAAGGGAGTTCCCCAGCCTGTAGGCATGCTGCTGGTTCTTCCTCCCCAGGTGCAACACCTTGCACTTGTCCATATTGAAAACCATTCTGTTCTCATCTGCCCACCCCTGTAACGTGACCAGATCTAGTTGTAGCCTGTCCCTCCCTTCTAGTGTGCTCACTTCTCCCCACATCTTAGTGTCATCTGCGAACTTGAGCAAGGAGCTTTTCATCCCCTTGTCCAAGTCGCTGATGAAGATGTTGAACAGTGCGGGCCCGAGGACCGAGCCCTGGGGGACCCCACTGCCCACATCTCTCCAGGTCAAAAATGACCCGTCCACTACTACTCTCTGGGTGCGGCCCTTCAGCCAATTTGTGACCCATCTGACTGTGTAGGCATCGACACTACAGATGCCTAATTTTTTAATGAGGATCAGGTGAGAGAGAGTGTCGAAGGTCTTCCTAAAGTCCAGGAAGACTACGTCCACCGCGACACCTGCGTCCAAGGCTCATAGAAGGCCACCAGGTTGGTCTGACAGGACCTGCCTCTACTGAACCCATGTTGGTTGCCCCTAAGCATAAACTCCCCTGCTGGCCCCTCGCAGATGTCCTCCTGAATAATTTTCTCAAAGAGCTTCCCCAGGACTGAGGTAAGACTAACAGGCCTATAGTTTCCTGGGTCCTCTTTCGTCCCTTTTTTGAAAATGGGGACCACATTGGTCCTTTCCCAGTTGTCAGGCACCTCACCAGAGTACCACGAGTGCTTGTAAAGCTGTGCCAGGGGTCCTGCAATGACCTCTGCCAGTTCCCTAACACTCTGGGGTGGAGATCGTCGTTTGAAATGGATCATTTGAAATTACAGCTGCAAAAACTGATTCTTATTTAGAAAATTAGGGATTGGTTCTCTCTCTTGAGAGATGCTTGGCCTTCATTAAGGAGATTTGGCACCTCTCACTGGATGCTTAGCATTTTACAGGAGTAAAGAGAGCTTAATCTTGGGGAATGAATCAGAAATTCAGTTTTGATTCAAGTTAACAACCAAGGCATTCAGGAGGAGATTCTATAGAGAAAGGCTGGCAAGTAGAATTGGATGGAGGATATAGGTTGAGAGTAAAAAAGATGGATTGGTGATAATTAAGCAGCTACTCTGAAATAATAACTATGAAAGCTGGATATTTACTTATTTAAGGGTATAATTTACCCATTGGACTTATTACTTTCTATTTGGAAGTTCATGGAGCTTATTTGGAGATGTAGATGATTATTTTGCTGAAATGGGTTTTTTTCCTATTGAAAATAAAATGTTTCATAAAATATATCTGATTACACTCCTGCAATCAAATGAAATAATTTGGAATTTAAAAAAAATATTCAGAAACTTTCAGAAAATTTACCTTCTCTCCATTTTTGTTTTGTTTTTTTCTTTTTACATTACACTAAGTGTTGAAAAGTATTTGAAAGATAAAAGCTGATAGAAAGTAACACATTCCGTTTTAAAAGTGACATCCTTCTCACCTTATAATTTCCTCTCAAAGTTTTGGGCTCCACAATTCAAAAAGGATGTGGAGAAGCTCGATATAGTCCAGATAATAGCCATGCACATGATCAGAGGTCGAGGAAAATAGACTTTATGACGAGAGGCTGAGAGCTATGGGACTCTTCAGCCTGGAAAAGTGCAGGCTCAGGAGCGATCTGATGGCCACCTATAAGTTTATCAGGGGTGTTCACCAGGTTCTGGGGGAACGTTGTTCACCAGAGTGCCCCAAGGGGATGACAAGGTCGAATGGTTATAAACTCCTGCAAGACCATTTCAGACTGGACATAAGAACTTCTTTACTGTCCGAGCCCCCAAGACCTGGAATAGCCTGCCACCGGAGGTGGTTCAAGCACCTACTTTGAACGCCTTCAAGAGAAATCTGGGTATTTTTCTTGCTGGGATCCTATGACCCACCCTGGGGCAGGGGACTGGACTCGATGATCTTCGGAGGTCCCTTCCAGCCCTAATGTCTATGAAATCTATGAAAGTAAATTAAAAGAAATCTTTCAAAAAAGGTCAGTTTTGCATATATCCTTTGAATTTTTTAATAAAAGTAGGTTGGATGAAGCAGAGGAAAGCCAAAGGGTCCACTTCTGTTCATCTACTTGTTGTAATTCACAAGTATAGTATCATTGATCTCCATGGCTCTTCATAAAGTATAGGCAGGTGTATTTTATCAATTTCATATTATGGTTATGTAAGTTATTAGAACGTGCATCATTTATTAGTGATACAAGTGTAGTAAAACCATTATATCTTGAACCCTATTTCATTCAGGGTCAAAGATGATTTCGCTGATTTATATTCCAACAGGATCATACATTTGTAACAGAGAGTAATAGTTGGTATGTGCTCCCGAGCTGATGTCTGTTCTAATTCCATTTTTAAGGTGGTTCAAAGGTACATTCATCTATACCTGTAGAATAACATCCTTGATTCAAAGAGTTTGCAGTTGATTTTATAAAAAATACATAATTCCCCTGATAGAGACAAATACAGAAGTTGTACTTTTAAGTCCAGTGCAGCAAAGGATCCATATATTTTTGCTTAGGATGTTAATCACAAATAGTAAAGTGACTTCAAGTGAGTTGAAGAGTATAAGCTTAAGAAGCACTGAAGCTATGAAACACACATGGGTCCAAATTCTGCCTCTCCCCTTGCACATGAGCATTCTTTAAATGGTAGTTGGAGAGCTGGGTGGATTACTCTGGCCCTTCTGAAACATTGCACACAGGCTGACCTACTGCAAACAGGAGCTGTTTTGAGAGGATTACAGCATGTATCCTGTATTGTCTTGGTTAAGACTGCACCCAGCAGTGGAGATCCACAGTGGATAGGGTAAAATAAACAGGCTTTGATTAATAGGCTTTTCAAGCATACACTGCTCTCAGCATATCACACACAAATGTTCAGAGACCAAGGCACAGTATCCTAGGGCTGTTGACAGATATTAAATTAAAGGTTGATGAGATCTGACACACAACCCCAACAATTGTGCCTCCTGCTATGGCATGCATGGCAGGAAGTGGGATTGTGAGATTGGGGTTCAGTCCCAATTGCGCCATATTGCTGGTGAAGGGGGAGCTTGGGTTCATGATCACTGGGCTCCCCTGCATGGGCAAATAGAAAACTTGTCTCCCCTTCTGCATTCTCTCTAAGCTGTGTGGGGTGCGTGGTTGCACAGGCGCGCTCATGCCGCACTGCCAGGCGTGCCTGCGTGGCCATGCACACCACACAGCTTAGTGGGAACACTGCTCCCCTGTGCTCCTGCAGCTGGTAGCCTTGGGATGATTGGGTCTGCCAGCTGGTGGAGTGCATTGGATGCCTTAACTCCTGTGTGTTCTTGTGACTGGGACCATTCTTCAGAGTTTTGTGACCTGTTTCATTTGTTACTATGTGGTCATGTGCACTGATACATATCTGACTTCCATGGACAATGGCAAATAATTTCTATTTGAGAATAATTTTGTTCCATTGTGGCCAGTACCCTTGATTTATATGCACCCAATGCTGTACATCCTGCAACAGTGCTTCTGTATCTGTTGCTTGCAAAGCATCTGTTTCTAGTGCTACTTCCTTGTTTTCATTGTAACGTTCTATTTTTGCTTGAGATTGTTGGCATCCTTCATTCTCGGGAAAGTCTTGTCAGAGTGCTATCCGCTTTCCTGCTCACTGTCTCTACATTCTCGCCTTGCTTCCCACCCTTCAGTTCCTAGGCAGTCCTGTGATTTCTGCTACTTTTTGTACAAAGGTTTATGAGTATGTCACCATTTATATTCTGCTTTCCATTTCTTCCTATCAATTTGGTACTTTTGACTGCTTCAGCCCATTTTGCTTCGTCGGGATCAGGCCTGATGCTTCTTCCCCTTTCAAAGATGACTGACCAAAGAAACTCAGGCGCCCTACTGTGATTTGCATGCTAGGTTGCACTCTCGTCATTTTGTGAATACTGTCAGTAGGATTTTGTCATAGTTCTCTCCGGTGCTTTCATGAACTAAAATGTCACTGCTGATTACTTTAACTCCTGTCACAAAAGATACTCCAGAAAAGGCTGTACCAGGTTTGGGGTTTTTTTTTCCTACTGCAACCACTGAGCTAAGTCTTTACAACTGTTCCTTTGGCTGTTTGTTTATGCTAGTGTTTCTTCTCCACTTTGAGGTCTATCATTAATAGCAGCCATCTCCATGCATGCATTACTGATCCTGCAGTTTTAGAAAGCTTGAAGCAAGAATTCTTGTGGGTGATAGCTCTTACAGGACCAGTTGCATAGTTGGGATAGACATAGGCAAGCTTTTGGCCTATGGGGGTATGTCTACATATGCATTAATGTTATTACAGGTACCAAACTAAATGCTCAGTAACCAGCACTAATGTGCAGTAGTGCTGACGCACACATTTTAGGTGACGCTACTGTGCAGTAGATTAATTCTACTGCACATTAGCACAGGTTTTGCCTGCTGTGCTAATGCCCAGTAGAACTAGTTTGTGCTTGAAGCATCTTATGTAGATGTGCGCAGAAGTACTCTTCTTTAGACCTCTGGGAAGCAGACACAGCAGAGCTAAGTAGCAGATGGGACAAGAGCTTGTTTAGGAGGGTTTAATGAGTATCGGGTAGATTATAATGGACCATGAAGTCATTGTCTAGGTTCAGTCCCTCATACTTAGTGTCCAATTGGCTAATGAATTCCTCTTTCCAAACCCATCTTGTAAAGTTGTTGGGCAGGTTTTCTTTGAGCACAGTGAAAATTTCCTTTAGAGAGGTTTCAAGTTAAATTTTGATTGCAAGTAATTTCTTCTATCTTTGGCTTTTATTTTTTATAAACAAGCTAGGATTGAGGTCTCAGTTACAAAGCTGTAGCAGGGCACTGGAGTGTGTCTGCTCCTTTAAGTGAGTTAGCAGCCTGGAAGGCTGCTTGCAGGTGGTGCAGAGGGCTAAGGAGAGACCCGCCTGGCTGGAAGAGGCTGGAGCTATATAAGCCCAGAGCCTGAGCCAGTCAGGCAGTCTCATCCTGGCAGTCACAGCATGAGGAGCTCTGGGAAGCAGAGCTCCTGAAAGGACTGGACCTTACACTGCAGGCCTGGGAGCAGAGGCACGGCCCTTGGGCTGAGAAAGACTGAGTTTTACAGGCAAGTGGCCTTGGTTATATTATGAGTCCACAGAGGGTCCTTGTGCCTGGACCAGAGGGTCCCTGAGCCCAGAGAAGGGCTGTGAGTTGGACCAAGGGTCTGGGAACCCAGAGATGGGGCAGCATGCAGGACCAAGGGTCCAGAAGCCAAGAGAAGGGGCGGTGTGCAGGACCAGAGGTCCGGGAGCCCAGGAAGGGATTGTGTAAGGGACCAGAGGGGTCCAAAGGGCCAAGGGGGCTGAGTGCATAATTTGTCAACATCACAGAGAGAGAGAGCCCGCAAGAATTAGGGCGTGGTGTACAGGAGGTATGAAGTGATGTACAGAGCCCTTAAGGTGACAGGTGCTCAGCAGGGGTAGAGACAGACTGAGAGGGCCTGCTGGCCTGGGGCACAGGAGAAGCCCAGTGGGGATTGCCAAAGGCTCAGGCTCATTCAGAGCCCACAGGCAGCCTCTCTTTTTATAACCTTCATTAAGAGCAAGGCATGGCAGGAGAGCTTCAAGGGAAGGGCTACAGCTGAGCCTGAGCCAGGCAGGGCCTGCATGGCCACCAGGGGACAGCATGACCACTCTTGGGACCATGGACCTGTTACAGAGGCTTCCTGGCTAACATCTGTGGGAGATGTGGAACGAAAGGCCACAGAACAGTTTCATTGGTGACTGAGAGCCATCCCCCAGTAGAGGACCTTGAGTAAAGTGCATTTTCTTGGCTTCAGTCTAGTGTTGTATGTTTTGCTCTAAAGCAGACACATCAATGATATGGCCCATGGGCTGAATCTAGTCCATGGAGCCACATCATCTGGCCCTCAGTGCTGGACCTGTGCAGGACCAGTCTAAGGATCCTCCCATATTCTTAATCCAGAGCCTGTTCTGGCTGGTCTGGGACTACACTATATGTGGCATCTGCTCTTGCTGGTCTGGGTATTGAGCCATGGTTGGCACCTGCTTCAGCTGGTCTGTGATAGGTGCCACATGCAGCACACTTCCCTGAATGGGTGCAGTGTGCAGTGCAATCCTGGACTCGCCAGAGCAAGTGCTGGATCTGGCATGTTGGGGAAAAGAGGGAGGGGACTCCATGGTTCTGCATACTGGGTCCAATGTGTACTCTGACTGTTCTGGGACTGTGCCAAATCTGGTGCCCACTGCAGCCAGTCTGGGACATATGCTTCATGCAACAACTGCCCTAGATGGGCTAGAGTGAGCACCATGTGCAGCTTGTATCCCAATACAGCCAGAGTGGGTGCCAGATATGGTCCAGTCCTGGACCAGCTGGAGCAAGCACCACAGGCACTGAATCCAGCATGGGGGGAGAGGATCTGTGGGCCCCATTTGGAGGTTCATCTGGCTTGTGGATCAATTCCATGCCACGCATCTCACCTGTGGGGCTAGATGATTTTGACACCCCTGCTCTAAACGGACAGTCACAAGTTCCTTAATAATGTAAAGACTCATTATCTTTGTCTTCAGTAGGGATCTTGCCTGAACAAGGTCTATAAGGCTGAACTCTGAATCTTTCCCCATTCCTTCAGCTCTATTCATGATTTTTTAATGCTCTCCTAAAGTTTCTAGGCATTACAACAGAGCTTCTCATTTTACAAAGCCCTTGCCTATCTCTTGCATTTAAATATAGAAACCCTTTCTTTTATTAAATTATCCTGTATTATCATTTATGCATTATTTAATGTTTTCTTTGAAGATCGTGACTTAATTATGAAGAGCCATTTTCAGTTACTAGAATAATATAATTTATTTAGTTTCCTTTCTGGGAGCATTCTTACCTAGAGCTACAGAACAGATGTCATATTACACTACTGGGATGACTGAAGTGATTCAAGTGGACCAACATCTATTGAAATCAGTACTCAAGAGGGGGTATGGGGGAGTTCTGCTGTGTTTGGGAACCCCACAGGTTACAAGAGAACCTGCGTCCAGAAGCAGAGAATGTAGATTTCCCTGCTGCAAAAAGATTTGCTTCTTTTAAGATTCTGCCATTAGGGGTGTCCTCATCCTGGAAACTGCTTAGGTTTTTAGAAGGGCACTTTCTATAGGCCTTAGGAGGTTTGGAATTACACTTTCTGAATGCATCTATTAAACCAGAGTGTTTTCCCCTCCCTAATGTTTAGACCGGTAACCAAGCTGTGCCAGATTGGCCTGAGGCTGTGTAGGATATCTCACCTAGAGAAGTGAGAGAGGGACTGTCAGGGATCACTATTACTCCCTGAACTCTGCAGTTCACATATATTGTATGCAGATATATGACAGCACAGCCTAATCCCCTCCTGTGACTGACACAGAGGGTCAAAGTGCGGTGAGTATGGGAAGGGCTGGGGCAGCAAGGTTGGGAATAGGGACAGAAGAGAACTATCTAGGGGTGAAAGAGGATGTAAATGGAGAATGATGTAGTGAGATGATGCAATAATTTTAAGAAAGTGTGGCTTGAGGAGGGGAGAAATTATCAGCAAAAGGAAAAATTAAAAATATATGGTAAAATAACAGCTGCATGAAATTAGGTGAAATCTAGAGACCAGAGAGGACAGAAAAACAACTATTAATTCTAACTGACTAATTTTTAATTAAAAATCTTCCTGAAATCATTGACTTAAGTCATCTGGCTGGACTAGTGTCATCATGTCAATTTTATTCCATGCTGTAGCATTAGATACATTTTGAACTTGATGCAGAGGCCTGTTGAGCAAGAAGTCTGGAAGTACACATTCTGAGCCAAATATCCCTCAGCTCCACTGAAATCAGGAACCCCAGTTTACATTAAGATAAAACTGCTCTAAGATCACTGAATCATTCCTCCAGATGGTGAAGCTATATGAGAGATCAGTTTGTCTCAGTGTGGAGGTGGTCACAGACTTGATAGAAATTATGGGCCATTTTAGGATAGTCTTGATGAAAACATTCTGCCAGTCATATTGTGGAATAGGCTGGCACAAATTATCTTTGGTAAGGGTGCCAAGTCTGCCATTGCAATGTCACTGTTCTATAGTGCTTTTCAACAGTGGATGGCAAACAGTATCTGTATCAGAATCTCCATTCCACAGACATGGAGACTGAGAAAAAAGGGTAGAAGTACCTTCTCCAAGGCTATCTAGTAGGCACTGGCACAGCTGAGAATAGGTCTCCTGAGTCTCATTCCAGTATTTATTCAGCTAGAACACACTACCTTCCTCATCCATGATGAAGACATTCAGTATAAGTAGTTCAACCTTTCCTTAACATATTTGCACTTGGGTGAAGCAGACCTTTGAGGAAGCTGACAAGAATGGAGATGGCTTATTGAATATTGAAGAGATCCACCAGTTGATGCATAAACTAAATGTCAATTTGCCTCGCAGAAAAGTACGACAAATGTTTCAGGTTAGGCTTTTATTTTCAGTATTGTGTTTATAAATATATATTGTGGTCCCAGAGATGATGTGCAGGTTACTGACAAGGAATCAATAATTTTTAAAGGTTACTAAGAAAACAGTTGCATTTAATTGATTTTATATAGGTGAAGCAGAGGAGAGGACATGATGCCTGGTGATTTTAGCCATTGATGATAGCTAGTTTGGTGACATTAGGCAAAAGGCCCGAAGTAAGGTATTTCAGTGCCTGATTAATTATGTGCGACTAGAAAGGTGTGGCTAGAAAAGTCTAGTTATTTTGGCTACTTTACAAAATTACCACAGGTCACTTAAGGCTCAGTTCTTTTAGCTTTATTCATATTTATCAATACCTTATTCCATAAATAGTTCAATTTGAGATTAATGGTACTAATTCTGAAGGAAAGTACTTCCCAGTGTGAGTAGGGGGAACAGAAATAAGCCTTTATTTAGATTTTCTGTTATCACCCCACCTCAACCCCCTCCTGTATAATTTACACAAAAAACAGCATTTCATTTAGAGCAAGATTAAATCCTGGTATGATGAAAAAGGTGAGAAGAGTTGGAACTGTAGCAAAGAGGGGTTAATTTGCTCCAGTCTAATGGTTGGAGCAAGTTGCACTCAACCTGTGCTAATTAAGGAGCCACTCTGTAGATTTTGCTTGCATGAGAAACAAGGTCCAAGATGTTCATGTTACCACATACATTCTGTAGAGGCCCACTTTATATAAAGGCCAAGATCTAGATATGGTCTCATACATGTCCTTCTGAGGCTGGTAAATGCAGATGGAGAAAATGAGGCACAGAGAGATGAATAATTTGTTCCAAGGCAGCACAGTGAACCCACCAGACACTAGTGGACAAAGGGTGATGAAGGCTATCCATAGCAGAACAAGAAATAGAAGCCAGGAGTTGGACCTTCAAGTCCTCCATCACCTCCACTCACCCACAGTATTTCTCTTGGTGTAGGTTGCTTGCACTTTTAACTTCAGATCATGCATCATGGTGAGTGTCACAGCACTGATAGCATGTAAAGGAGGAGGATTTGTGGACACACAATTGTTCTCATTATACTGGACTTAATTCTGCTTTTATGTTGGTGTATATGCAGAATGGAGCTACTCATTTAGCAGAGCTGACTGAAATTTTGAATATATTTTTAGAAAAATACTTGAACAAAAATTAGTTTTGAAAGGAAAGAGTTGCAGAAATATCCGTGCATTTCACAGAAATCATCAAGGTTATTTTTTCATTTCTTTGATATAATCTCAGAGAATATTTACCAGTTTTAGCCACTGTTACTATTTATACTCTTGCAAGTAAATGAGAAATTAACTGTATTAGGTATAACACGAATAAGACAAAAAATTTTAAAAGTACATTTTTTTTGCACAAAAATCTAGACAACTGCACAAAAGGGAGGTTTGTTTAAAATCTCAGAACCACGTATAGACAAAAATGTGCATGGCCTTCTTGGGTAAGATCAGCATTATAGTGGCAAATCCCTCAGAGGAAGGAGGGGTATAGGTTATAGCCATGTCTGTCTAAGGACATAGGCAAACAAGGTTCTTTGTGTGAATCTGATATCTTTTATTGGAGCAACTAACTAAGGAGGAAGAAGGTCAGAGGAAGGAGTACGGTTCATGGGTGTGAGAAATCTGGAATGCTTCTGAGGTAGCTGATGCCAATGCATAGATAAATTTAGGCCAAACAGCATCCACAAATCATAAGCCTCTTTTGAAGTAGAGGTAGAATTTTAAATAAAAAAAAAAACAAATTCTCTTTAATACCAAGTAGTTGAAAATTGTTTCCTTCTCCGCTTAACTGCTATAATCTGAATTTACGAACTCCAGTGACAGCAGCACTAACTTTTAACGTGGTGTACTGAAATACAGCTCTCTGCAGATCTGAGGTGTTACCATTCTTGCCAGCTGCTGCAGGAGAAATAGAGGATTACGAAGTCATGCATTGACAGGGAAAAAATCTTTTTAGTTTGCCTTTAAAATTAAAAGAAATACCTAGGGATGGAACATGCTCTTATTAACAGGCATAAGCTTTTTTATAACCAGAAGCAGTTATTATTTTAATTTGGCAAAAACAAACTGCTTTTTAACTCTCTTGTTGCTGCCAGCCTGTATCTGAGTTCATATTGTAGGCCTTGCAAAGATGCTTAAAGACACACCTTGGAAAGAAAATTGAAGTGCTGAAAGATTATCCTAGTGCTAGTGGCTGTTGAAACCCAATCCCAAAGCCTTTATTTTTCAAGTAATCTTCTCTTAGGCAAGTGGCTCAATGGCCTTCCAGAATCACCGGTGCTTTGGGCACGGTAAAGGATAGGACAGAGATGTAGTGGGCCAGATTCTTTGTTCTGGATCTGACTACTTTGCAAAGCTGCCAGAGCATTGTTTTAAAGGATTCCTCCTGGCATTGCTAGCTTTGTGCCATCTGTTTGCTGTTTATGCTTGACTCAGCTGAGGATCTGCCCCCCTGTTATGATTACACAGACTCTAATCTGTAAAACTGTGTCATTCAGATGCCTGCTACCCAGAATCCAAGAAATACTACATGTGTGTGAAAAGGGACATCCCTGAATATGAGGAGTATGTGCTGCAGTAAAGGAGCATCCAGATATAGAGATGGAGAAGTGCAGCATGTAGGGCTATGAAATGAATGTTTGTTTTCATATCGGTATTTACTTATGTAAAAAATAATGATATGCTATCCAAAAATATGTTTAAAGCAATGTTAAATTGAACGTGTTAGTTAAAGGTAAAGTGAAACTGAACTACTGGTGAGTGGCTTTTTGTGTCTTGTAGACAAGCTGTTCCATTCTGGGAAGCATGAGATCAGGTGCAGGCAGAAAAAGTTGATGTACAAGTAAAAAGAATGTGGACCATGACACAGTGGGCTCGTGAGGTTTTGGAGAGATGGCTGAGCCCTCCAGCATGATTTTTCCTTTTTATCTGATGAACTGTTATACAGAGACAGCTAGCTAGAATCAAGGGGATTCTGTTCAAATCAATGTTGATAAGAGTTTCTGCCCAGTTAGAAATTAAGGATGGACAGTTTTTCATGGGACGCCACATGGATATTAGCACCTGCATTTGCAAATCTTGAAGTGAAATGTAAAGAAAGGTTATAAAGGGAAAGAATACCTCTAGGCATGGGCGACAGGTGGCTCCTGAGTCTGGGGTAGGGGGCACCCGCAGAAGTCAGTGGCAGGAGTGGAGCTGTTGAGCGTCCGCAGATGCTGCTGCTGGTGTTGGCAGTGGGGGCTGAGCTAGCGAGCATCTGCAGACGCCAGCAGTGGCATCAGTGGTGGGGACAGCTCTGTCAGGGG